CTTAATGGATTCATTTTTCCTTTACCCCATTTCTTAGCTGTGCTCCCCACAGGGAGCTCATGGGCAACAGCAACCTCGCCACTGATGGCAGCTCCCCCATTGCTCACACCCATCTTTTTCTAGGGTGCAGCACCAATGGCACTGACCAAGCCCGAGGTTTCCCCAGTCACAGCATTTCCCCCAAAGACAGCCCCCCTTTCCAATGCCCTCTCTGAGAGGGGTAGGCAGGTATCACTGGGGCAGCCCCACTGCCCAGCAGCATGCCTTGCTCGTGGGTTTTTCTGCACACACACATATGTGTGCACACAGAAGGTTGCAGAGCTCATAATCCTGCATGCAAGACCATTTCTTTTGGCTTTGCAAAAACACCGCGTCGTGTCTTGGCTGGTGCGAAAGACCCATTAGTGTTGGAAACAGCTTTCAAGCGACTCCCTTGCCAGGTTGGTGGATGCTGGCTGTCTTTCCCTGGGGCTGCTGGGGTCTCCATGGGGTGGGAGAAGAGAACCAAGCGGGGCTGTGCTCACCTGCAACTGAGCGGAGGGGGGATGCACAGGCTGTCTGCCGCAGTGTGCTGCTGGGAGGGGTAGGGGCGTGAGAGGACCCCTGCAGGGCAAACCCCTTGGTGGCCTGGCTCACGGCCCCTCTGCAGCACCCTGGGGCAGGTGGTCTTGCTTGGTGGCTGAGAAAAATCAAGTCATTTTCTGAAGGGAGGGGGAGACACCCACACCCCAGTGATTGGAAATACATCTGTGACTGTTTGGAAAGTTATTTTTGCTACATAAAAGGCTGGGACGCGAGGACAGGGCCTTCTCCAGACTGTATCACCTCTTGGCTTCCCTGCTAGTACAGCTCATTTATTTGGTTTGGCACCAACTAGCTGAGCCGTGTAGCTGCCAGTTTCACCATGTTATATGGAGCTGCTGATGTCAGGAAGAGCTTTTGGCCGCAGGAAAGCCCTGCAGATGTTGTCCAGGTGGTTCTGCTCTTCATGAGCATTTAGGACTAGTCAAGCCATGTAACAATTTTACGATGATTATTTTTCTTTTGAAACATGACTGGGATTCCTATCAGGCCCTGGAGCAGGAGCAAAGGGCGGAGTGTGGTGTGAAGGCTGGGTGAGGTGTGCGGCATGTGCTGGCAGCATGGGCCGGAGAGGTGCCAGAGGAGCAGAACCAGGCAAAACATGGAGGGGACTAATGCTCTAGACCAGCTTGGAAATAGCTGGCAAGCTTCTCTGTGCGGCATATTGCACCATGCTGCTTGTCAGGCAGGGCAGCCAGAGAGGCCAAGCAGAGGGAGAGGTGTTGCCTGCTCACATCCAAATTCTTGTGGTTCCCACATTTCAGAATTTTGATTCAGGATCCAGCTGAGGCAAAGGGAGGCTCGTGTCACCTCGCTGGAGGGGTGGCTGCCTTGAGCACGCCCATACAAAGGCGCCCTGGTGAGCTAGCTGAGCGTGGCTCCCTCCCTGTCCTAGGTGCTCTTGACTGGGGCAATGAATCACCACCTGCGGGTGCCTCGTCCTCAAAGGCATCTTCCCACCAAATCAAGGCAAACACATCCAGACCCAGCGCATGCTCCATCTCCAGATGCTCTGCACCGTGCTGCTGAATGGGAAACTCAGGCCATGTGCAAAACCAGGCTTATGCCCCTTGTCTGGGTTGGGGTGCCTGCTCCTCCCTCTCTCCTGGTTTCTTGGCTGTACGTAGCCTGGAGGACATATGCACCTTGCTGGCACCACTCAGGGCACAGAGGAAGGGGATCTTCCTCTGTCCGCAAACCTGCTCAACACATCAGGCGACCTCAGAGCACCTGTGAAGCTCACGAGCAGGATTTCCTTGCTGTTTTCCTTGCAAATCCTTCTGCTGCCGCATCCCCTCCCAGCCTCTCTGCCACAGCCTTGCCACCTTAGTCCCTCATCCCAGCCTGTCTTCGCTCTCTTCCTCTGGACCTGCACACCTTTTATCCCACAGTAAGTTGTTAACTTCTGAAGATTTTGAAGAATCCCAGATCTGCCAAAAGAAGATCCAGAAAGAGATTCCAACTTCTGCTCAGGCACCTTTCACTGGCCTTTATTTATGTGGAAATTACTACTGACAGCAAAGTTGATGTAAGGTCTGCTCAAGACCAGCAGGGTTTGCAGAGGGGTCTTCTCTGTTTACTTTATGAACTGCAGAGTCACTTACATTGCTTGTTCACTTTGCTGTCTAATAGAGAGAGAAACCTCAGTCAAGTTGCCTTAATGTTTATTTTATTTAAAGAATCAGAAACACAGTCATTGTAGTTCATTTGTACTCATATCTGCCAACATTTTCTAAATCACGTTAACATTCATGTATAACAAAAACATTTTCTGAGCTGTGCAAAGTTCAAAGGAATTGTTCAATTACTTGAACCCATTTCTAGAAGAGCAAACCTGGCATTTTACAAACAGGCCACCAGAAGGAGTCTTTTCCCCGCCCTGTTGTAGGAGATGCAGATGCCCCCTCCTCCCCCTTTCTCTGGTATGACAGGTAAAAATTAGACCACAGTACGAGTTGAACGTCTCCCAGTCCAGGACTCCAAATAGCACTGGGTCACGTTTTCATATCACTGAGCTGTATTAAGTTCTGCACTTGTGCTCCTGGCATGGAAGTGATTTGTCCAAGAAGATTACTCAGTAACCCAAACTGTGATGATAAGCAATAAACAGGGGCCAGAAACAGCTGTTATCAAAATAGAAACACTCCCTCCACCCCCCCACCCCAATATTTTTCCTTGCAGGAGTTATGACTGGAAGGGTTGTCATCTGTTAAAAAAGCCATCATCATCCCTGCAAAATATATTTGAAAGCACTCATTTCATGACACAACATCTATGTGTTTTCCTTGATCTTCTCACACATCAACTTTTGTCCTGTTAGAGTTAAGCATGAATAGTGGAAATCTGGAACCATTTTAGATCTGGCTAAACACAACAGGCAGCAAGCAAGCCGTCATCCTGTTCCGTTTTTCTGGGTGTAGTAAATACACCCACAGAACAGAATTTTAAGAGGCCTTTAACCACTGTAAGTTGTCAGAAAAAATCTTCTCATCTCTGACAGATCTAACCCAGAATTTTTATTGGAATCGATAACATGCATTTTGGCGCTGCTGACTCGCTAACTGTGCAGTTCACTGTTTGAGGTGCAGCGATACCAATTCTGATCTGGACCAAATAAGTGGAACAGCTATGGCTCTAGTCTCAAGCAAGTCTTTCCAATAAGACATTTCTTCAGTTCTTATTGGTTATAAAAAGGCAATTTCCTCTCAACAGTAACTAAACTTTTAGTGGCTGATTCATTACAACCTGGAATATGAACAAATGCGGCAACATTAAGTATAAAAAGAAACACCCTGAAAATGATGCCTCCCTGTTTGAAGGTGCTATACTTGGCCATGGACTGTGTTTCTGGAATCGGTTTGTTACATGTGACAGCAAGAAGAAACTTATTTTACAGAGAACAAAGTCACGGAGCTGAACTTAAATAAGAACGCTCACTTACATGGGTTTTGATATGTACTAGTATACACGGCTTGAATGAAAACAAAACTTACACCTTCCCATACGAAATACTGGTAACACAGTAATGATGTTCACCCACTGGGCCTCTTCCTTTTAATAAGATCATCTCCAGGTTACAGTGCCTCCGACACGCTTTTAAATGACCACCACATGTGGGCTTTGGCAAACAGCCAGCTGCTGGCAAAGGCAAGGTACGGATACAGCTACGAAAAGCCTTTCATCATGTTTCATTCCTCAAGAGCCGATGTCTTTTTAAATACTCTCACAATCGCATTATGGAATTTTTTCTCATTCTGCTTCATATGAATAACTGGCTAAACTCCCTTTACATTTATTGCACCTTTAAGTCCCTGGTAGATGAAAGCTTATATTGCCTGATACGGTTTGTATTGTAGCTTGACCACGTTAAGAAATTGAACAGTCTCCAGAACTGTGCATTTCTACAGTAAGAAATCACATCTCGATAATGCTAATTACAGCCATCGCAGATCAGCTCTCGTCTCCGTGATGCAATGACAGAGGAAAACTCCATGGTCCCTGTGCGTGCTAGAACCTGCAGTGTTCTTCTTATTGCCATGAAAAAGTCAATTAAAACGACTCCTCTGGGAATTACTTCCAATTCTGGAGTAATTATCACTTTCCAGACAGAATCTGTGCTTCAGCATGGGTCTTCAGCCACTCTAAATACGTAGGAGAGAGCGAGCGTGTGCGTGTTGCGCAGGTGTGCTCCCCCAGGTATGTTTATCAGTGACCAAGAGGCTTTTTCTCTTTTCCTCTATAAAGCATGAACAAGCAGTCTGATCTTGATCTTCAGGTACATTTCTTATTTCATAAGTTGAATGCAAATTTGTTGCAGCCTCTCTGCTTAACCAAACCAAATCTTTAACAATTAAAAAAAATAGCACCAGATGTATGAAAAAGAGGAAATGTCTGATCTAGTAGGAAGATATATAAAGTAGAGCAATTCTTACAGTAAAAAGTTACGTCATACAAAAAAGCAATGGAAAGTGATACTGAAGGACAAAAATCCATGCTGCATATAATAAGGGCAGAAGACAGGCAAAAGGGATGCTGCTCAAATAACCACAGTTTAATGGTGGAGCCGTACTTCCTTCAGGACCTCCCTGGCGGCAGCGCCAGGACACCGGATGGTATTGGACTCTGAGCACTAACACACTCACTGACAAACTTGCGCAGCATATCTTTGAGGTATATAGAAAGCACGACATTAATGTTTTGGACTCCTCATTCTTTCTTGCACGACGATGCACTGATCTTTAGCTGGGGTTTTCTCCACCCTTCCCTCCCGCTTTTTCCCTTGGGAAAACGAAATCCCAGTTTAAGAGCTTCCTAGCACACCTCCTTGAACTCTCAGATCCATCTTGCATAGGCCAGTAATAAGAACACTGCAGCTCTGACAAATAAGTTACAGCAATATAACAACTTTCCTCTTAATTTTTTTTAAAGATATCTTCTCTATAATTTACACAAAGGGTTAACAGCCGGAGTTTAGGTTACGTACAGTCCAGATGGGCGTCCTTTCAGTCTGTGATTCCAGGTGGAAGGCACTACTTCAACATACCACTGTATGCACTGCACACGGCCTCAGGAGAACAGTGGGGCACTGTGTCTCCAGAGCTGTAGACTGAAGGGCCTGGGGGGAGTCTTTGGAAATAAAAATGGCAGTGGTTATCAGTCCAGTTTCTCTTTGCTGTCTCTTCTTGTGCTATGCAGTTTCCCCTGAAAGCTCCTCCAGTTGAGAGAGCGGCGAGCTGTCCTCAGAAGCTCTCGACAAAGCTCCCAGGGAAGAGGCCCGTCCTGCCATTCCTCTGCAATGTCCCTTTGTACCAGCCGTCCTCCCGTTTCTTGTGCACGAACACAATGTCACCTTCCTTCAGTTCGATCTCGGCTTCGCTCTGTGGCGGGTATGGGACCACAACGCGGTACCTTTGGAGACAGAAACACAAAGACCTGGTCAGCCAGCGATTGAGCCTGTGCCTGATGGGAGCAGCCAGGCACCAGAACCAGAACAAGAAATCTTGGAGAAAAGTATTTTGGAAAGATCATTAAGTTACATTTTCATGTACCAGTTGTACCTGAGGCAGCTACATTTTCTACTAAAATTCAGTATGATGGGGATATTTCTGGCCAGCTTGACTGGAAACTTGACCATGAAAGCAGAAAGGTATTGTCAAATGCTGTACTGCCTGTGGTGGTCCCTGCTCCTGGTTGTGTGCTGAGCCTGTGCCAGAGACTTGACCACCTTCTCCTGGGGCAGCATCTGCCTCTGTTGTAACACATCTCATTCAGCACTGTATCTGCTCCATCCAAAAATCACAGACTCATAGAACCGTTTGGGTTGGAAGAGACCTTTAAAGGTTACCTAGTCCAATCCTCCTACAGTGAGCAGGGACATCTTCAACTACATCAGGTTGCTCAGAGCCCCATCCAACCTGATCTGGAGTATACCCAGGGATGGGGCACCTAACACTTCTCTGGGCAACCAGTTCCAGTGTCTAACCATCCTCATCATAAAAAATTTCTTTCTCATATCTAGTCTGAATCTACCAGACCCTACTAAAAAGTCATACCCATCTTTCTTATAAGACCCTTTAAGTACTGAAAGGCCACAAAAAGATCTCCCTTGGAGCCTTCTCTTCTCCCGGCTGAATAACCTCAACTCTCTACTTTTTTCCTCATAGGAGAAGTGTTCCACCCCTCTAATCATTTCTCTGGCCCTCCTCTGGACCAGCTCCAACAGGTCCATGTCTTTCCCATACTGGGGACCCCAGAGCTGGACACAGTACCCCAGGCGAGGTCTCACCGAAGTGGAGTAGAGGGGGAGAATCACCTCCCTTGACCTGCTGGCCACATTGCTTTTGATGAAAGCCCAGGATACAATTGGCCTTCTGGGCTGCAAGTGTACATTTCTGGCTCATGTCCAGCTTTTCATTCACCAATACCCCCCAAGTCCTTCTCTGGAGGGCTGCTCTCAATCCCTTCATCCTCCATCCTCTATTGATACCAGGGGTCACCCTGACCCAGGTGCAGGACCTTGCACTTGGCCTTGTTGAACCTCATGGTGTTCACATGGTCCCACTTCTTGAGCTTGTCTGGGTCCCTCTGGATGTCATCCCGTCCCTCAGGCATGTCAACTGCACCACACTGCTTGGTGTCATCTGCAAACTTCTGAGGGTGCACTTGATCCCACTGTCAGTCATTGATGAAGATATTAAACAGTACTGGTTCCAATACGGACCCCTGAGGGACACCACTCATCACTGAACTCCATCCAGACATTGAGCCGCTGACCACTACTCTCTTATGACCATCCAACCAGTTCCTCATTCACCAAACAGTCCACCCATCAAATCCATATATCTCCAATTTAGAGAGAAAGATGTTGTGGGGGACGGTGACAAAGACCTTACAGAAGTCGAATTAGATGACACCTGTAACTCTTCCCTTGTCCATTCCATTGATGATGAAAAATGGGGTTTGCAGTGCTCCCACCAACTGTCTGTGATATTGGCAGAAGTTAGCTAAAGCAGTTCACATATTTCTTCTCATGTTTCTGGAGAATACACCTTGGGTCCCTCAAACCTGGAAGGGAAGCTAAAATGGAGAGGTATCAAATGACTTTCTAAACACTCTCCAAAGCAACAGGGAGCCCCTGTCCTGAACCATTCACAGGGCTCTCTGGGAACTTAGTTTTCAAGTGTCACTTCATTTCAATGAAGTAATGACAAGTCTGATCTTGATATGGCTATTCTATACTCAGGCTTATCAGCAGGCGTCCTCCTGAGAGCACAGATCGGGCCCTTTTATATCAGTGCACTTGTGTGCAGAGCAGAGAATATATTTCTGCTGCATTGTTTTTTTTAATTCAGCACATGTACTTTCTCAGTCATCTGGCATTTGGTTAACAGTCAATAACTGTCTTGCTAATCGCAAAGTAGTAAATATAATGAGATAGTTACAAGATGCCAATGGATTACCTAAAACCCATCTCCTGAGGATTAATATTTCCATAACCACTGCACAGCCACTGATGCCTCAGTTATGTTTGTTACAAGGGGAGAATCCATTTAAAATAATATCTTGTCATTAAGGACTAACTTCAACATACCCTGGAGGCTCTGGAATACTCCCTGAGGCCATTCCCAGTAAGATGGTACCAAAGCAAGGGGCTCTTCAGTGGCAGTCACTAATTTTCTTTGCAGATGTTATTCAGGTACCTTGCGGTTCTGAAACTAGGGACTCCACTTTGACATGACAGTGAAAATACCAGCTTTGGGTCTATGTCTGGACATCTCCACAGCCAGACATTTCATTATTGGAAAACTATTAATATCCATTTGGAATGGAGAATCTGCTCTAAAACCTGACTGTGGCCTTATAATCTTGACACAGCAACAGAGTCATGTAGAAAATATGTGTTCAAGTGCCATCAAAAATCTGGTGGTCATCTTTGTCCTCTGGTCAATAAATCTAGTTGTCACTTCCCTCCTCTGTGGAAAAGAAAGTAATAGAGGTTGAAACATGTGCTGCTGGCTGGCTGCAGGAAAATGGCCTATCACGCTATCATCTGTGGAACTGCTACACTTATATTATGAAGCTTTGCCAATTACAGCCATTATGTAAATGAATGCACACATTATTTCAAACACTCTGCTGCAGTGTTGATTAATTAAATTATCAGAGTGGAACAATTTTAGCTAAGATGATGCCAAGTTTCAGATCTCACAACTCTATGTACAATCACAGCTCATTGGAGCTCTGCACCAGGATCTAAGAGACTTTGAGAAAGAAGAAGGTCGGACCTCAACATAAGGCAAGTGGTGCGGAGGTACTCACTGACCCTTTTGGCAGATCAGGAAACAGAAACACAGAAAAAGGTGGTGTTTTGGGCAGGGTCATCCTAAAGACCCATCTGGGACTGCCAACACCTCATGTACCTTAAGCACTGCCCCATCCTTTTAAAGCCAGACTGTATCCTAGGGGTGAGGAGCTGCTAGTCCCTAAATGGTTCACATGAGGAGGGAGGTGACCACGCTCAACAGGAATGTGCTCATCGTCATAAAAGGGGTTCTACACAGACTCTCCTTAGAGATTTAGAAAAATAAATCTCAGTTGCTGCATTACCAAATGAAGTACTTTTTCCCATTTAAGGAAACCCCAAATGCTGTGGTTTAAATTTAATTAGCTATGGTACTTCACAGGATAGCACCAAAGTGGTTTTGATAGAATAATGAAATCTTAGATACGAAGGACCTTGCAAATCGGTTAAGAAATCCTCCATGAGAGATGGAAAAAAGATGCTATGCTTTTTCCCTTGAGAGGCTTTTGAAGTGGGGCCTGGTATGGGGCTGCCCATACCACAGGTCGCTGCTGTGCCACCCCTCCAGACCTCCAGATGGCATCTCAGCCTAGTTTATTCTCTGGAACTGAATTGCAAATACATATATTAGCCATATTTTTTTGGCAGAAAACATCTCTTCTCTCAGACATCCTCCCTCACTCCCAAAAAGGCAGCCCTGTATATTTCTATTTATATCTCCCCTTTTCATTTCCCCTTTTGTCCCCTCTTTGAGAAGCTACTATAAATTGGTAGGTTTTTTTACACCAACTGGCTTCCTGGCTCTTCAGATGGATCTCAGAGCTCTCTCAATTTTGTCTGTGTCACATTACACCTCTAAATTACCCACTTTAAAAGAAGTTAATTAGCTGGGTAGCAATCATGATGACAAGCATGGCAATGCCCTCTGCCTATTATTAACAATGTTTGGTATTTTGTTGTAAATTGTACTCTTGGATAGTTGTAATTCTGCCAAATGTTATCCATTTTAGCCCATACTCTCCACAGCAGTTTACTGTGTCAGGCTGAAGTTCTTGCATTCAGCCCAAATGATCCCATCACCTGCAGGAATGAGGATGTTTTTGCAGCATCAGCAGGACCCAGGTGAGTGCTTTCACAAGCTGCTCTCAGCTCCTCATACTAGGGAGCAAAGACCCAACCTGTGGCTCCACTGGTCTGTCAAGGACAGTGTTCCTTCAGAAAATTAACTGCTCTTGGCCAGGTTAAAAGCATTCAAACTATCCCAAAATGGTACCTACTTAGTAGAGGCTTGTATGAGCACAGAAGGTAAAATCTCAGCTGATTCAGGCTCCAAGGTGTCCTAGCTCTGTGGGACCTCAGAGGTTGCATTTATCTTCCTTTCCTAGGAACGGGCTCCTCTCCTGTTTTTCTCTCAGGGCACAGACTCAGTGTAGGACTTTCCTACTGCTGGCTGCTGTTGCATCCCTGGGTTGGGCACTTCATCCCCGGAGAGGACTGCCTGGGATGGGCAGTGGCATGGGAAGAGTCCTCGGTGCCCAAGAGAAAATACATGAGGAGAGGCTAAGAGTGGTATCATCAAGGATGGGGGATGGGGTTTGCCTGGACAGGTAAACCTCAGGGAGTTGGAGAGCAGGGTAAGGTGAAGGAGGGCGTGAAGGGAGAGGGAGACCAGCGGGAGGAAAACTGGGAGCTGAGGCAGAAGTGGGACCATGGTGAAAAGTGGAAGCCTTGAGAGAATGTGTAGGTATGACTGCTGAGGGGGCAGCTGTGCTGAACTGAGTCCGGGGGAGCAAAGAGCCTTGGTGGGAGGGAGCCTGGGGCTGGGACATGACATCCTGTGGGGCAAGAGACTGAATGGGTAGAGGATGGCACTTGGGCTGAGGGTGGGATGGGGACCCTGGCAGAAATTAACTCATTGAGAGCTGGGAATGGGTCCATCATCCGTGTCCCTCTGCTGTCAGCAAAAGACCTGGAAATCCCACCATCCCATTTCTTCACAGCACTCATCCTTGCATCAAAAGAAACACCTCTCCCACCCAGCTCTCACTTTGCTACCACTGCTGACATCTTCAAGGTGCTGCTAAGACTCCTAACCTCAAATAGATGT